GTTCAAGGTTCAGGTGTGGTATTGGGAAAGAGATGAGGTTCTTGGTCCAGTAATTAGCTGTTTGTCAACTGCACAAGTGGCTCCAGTGCTGTCCAGAGGGCTGAGAATGTAGTAAGCATTACTGTATCCCTTCTCAGAAAACTTTCTAACTCATAATAATGCATACTACAATCTAAATAAAAAAACATCTTTAGTGTAATGTGACAAGGCCTTTGAACTCCTAACTTTGGCCTGAGAGACTGATTTAAGGGCTGGGGCATTTCACAGTAATTTGCATGTTTTGGAAGTCCAAACAAAATTGCTGTAGTATCCAATATATTTTAAATAATAGTATTATAAACATGATACATAATCTCAATGTTTTAAAATACGTATGTACATTCTTAGCTTGAAACCACAATATGAACTATGGAAAAAATAATATTCTTAAGTATTTGTTAATTAGAGACTCAGTCCTGCCGTATCTTCTGTCAGTGGTATTTTCAGTCTCTCTTAGACTCAGAGCACCCTTGGATAGATTTGAGTCACCCCTTGGAAAATGCCAGATCTTGTTTTTTTTTTTACCTTCTCTCTTTTCTTGACTACGGAAAAACAATAGAGCTATTTTTCTGTTACAAAGAACTCATCACAGCTATGGTTTTCTTTTTAAAATCGCTGGGTTCATCTTGTGAATCATCCTTGCATACCTAACAGTGTAAACATTGTGTGGTCACCCCATGGCTCCCTTGAATGGATCTGAAAGGGAATCCCAACCCCAGCTAGTACCCTAGTTAAGAATCATTGATCTAGTTCTTGCTTGTTACAAGAAGCCCTAACAATAGATTATATCTAAAAATCTGTCTGATTTGAGTTCACAGTACAAGTTTTTCTAAAGTTGCATTAGCAGAAGCTTTCAAATTATTTTTAGAACTTTAACTTCATGTAAATCAGTGACTTAAGTTATTCCACCTGGATTATCCATTAATATGTGTATATATAAGTTTGAAATTATATCTAGATAGAATTATTGGCAGGCAAGGCATCCTGATCTTTAAAATGTGTGATGTTTTCTACTTCACGTAGTTGAAACACTTTTAAAATAATTTATCTGAGTTAGAAATGAAGCATGGAAAAATTTAAGTACCAACAGATATTTCATATATCAAAAACAGTTTATAAAGAGCCTGATGTAACCTTGACTACAGGAAATCTCTAACTAATAAGAAACTAATGCCAAGTAGCTTTTTAATGTAATATCTGTGTTACAAGTATGGTCCAAACTGTAGCAGGGAAGCATGCACTCGGAATAATATCTGATTTGAAAGTGACTACAGAAACTTGTAACCATAAATTTGACTTTGCTAGTCTGAGAGCTAAATACATATTCTTCCCTTGGCTACATATTGGAAAAAGGGGCAAGCTGAGCCCTTATGTCAGACCCATTTTATTAGCTAGGCTTCTGGGAGAAACAAAGGAAAAGTGGCATCTTGAATTAAGTATCTGTTATGACTTTGTTTTTCAGGACACACTTATTACTACAGTGCAGTCTAATTCCAGGTATGGTATGGCTCTGTGCACGTGTTTTTACAGCATCTGCTGAAGTCAGCTCTAGTTCACAAAAGGTTGTGCTGTATAGATCTCTCTAATTTAATTAGTCTATAAGATGCAAATCTATCCTGCCTTCTGCTTGACATCAGACTAACATGGCTAACTGCATCTCTCTGCTCATGGCTTCTGTTGTAATTAAAATAAAATATCCTTTTTCATGATGCCCTTGCCTAGTCAGTGAATCGGGTGGTATTTTTATGTGCAACTGTTGAGAAGTTGGACCTGAGAAGGTGACACAAACTATTGTTGTGCTTATAATTAAAATCTATGTTTGCGTCTGAATGTTTCACAGTGTGAGAGGTTTTGTAGTAGGCGGGCAGGGGGTGGGGAGCTGGTGTCACTGCTTACCACAAGAAGTACTACTAATTTAAAAAATATTCAGTGATTTTACTCTAGTAAGAGGTAGCTAATTGTTCTGTCTGGCTTACTGACATGCAGCAGCTCAGATATAAAATGGAGGATGCTGAGATATAGTAGTTAATATATTATAATTAGTTTGTACAGATATTTTAGTATTCCAGCACAATCATAAATTTATAGAAGAATATCATTTATGTATAGTAGGAGAATCTAAAAGGGAATCTTTTTAGTTAAGGAACCTTCTGCAACTTATTTTGGGTAAGACTTACCCAGTCTATCTGCTTTTCAGCTGATAGGCATTCTGGGCAATACCATGGCTTTAACCTTGAATCTTGCCTTCAAGTCAGCAGACTTCAGAGCTTAGCTTTGAAGAATCTTACATCGGCTGGCACATGCATATCACTCGCATTGATATTAGACCAACCCAAATGCTCTGCATTATTGCTTGGTAATCTTTCTTCTTCATTCAACAGAAGCAGATTCTTCCAGTCTGTCAAAATTTTAAAATTTATCAGCTGTTGGATGTGACACAGAAATAATTCTTATGATTTCTTCTAGTTCATGGACCAACTGGGTGATCCCAGCAATAGCAGCAATAATTGTGGCCCTAATGTATCGTTTCTACTCATCGGAGTAAACCTTCCTGAGAAGTAATGAAGGGAGAGACTGATCTGGGGGGAAAACAGAAACCATCTTAACCCACTGCATTTCTGATAACAGAAGAGCCTGATGACAACAGAAGATTTTAAAATGCAACTATTTCAGAAAACCAAAACTATTCTTCTGCACACTTTTTCCTTCACACTGCTGTTTTATTTAAACTTTTTAAAGTAATAAAGGTAGTCTTTCTCTTTTGTATAACAATTTTATTCTCTAATGAATCACTTTTAAGATTACTGTACTGATTTGTGTTAAAGAACACTTACATTATGTATGTACCAGCCTGAAATTTGTAACCTTTCTTCTTTTAATGCTTTAGGCTTTATGTGACTTTCATATAAAACCTTGAGCCTTAAATGACCATCTAAACCATGTGTGTGTATGTTCATGCACGTGCCTTTTTTTAACCCACAGTCTTGTGTTTGTCTTCTAGTAGTATTTCAAATGGCTTTGGTTTTTCATACACAAAGAACTCATAACTAGTTGGATTTAAAATATCTTTTTATTAAGAATAAAATGGTGGAGAATGCTGTCAGTGGGATGATGATGTGATATCTGTTAAGCTTATATGCATATGTAGAGTCTAACTTACATAGTATGTGGACCTACATAAGCTGCAGAATGTTCTTAGTTAATTCCTCTCTGCCATCCCTGTCTCTGCCACTGGTATAGAGACTACCATCAGACTTTTTATTTAATTCTGTCATCCTTAGAAAACAAGTAATTGAACCATAAGAAAAAGAAACCCCACTGTCTTCACTTCATGAACATCCCCTGTATGTTTTGCAAAAACACTATCAGATAAATTCTGCAGTGGGAAACATGGTGCCAGGTAGTGCTGTTCTCAGCCAAGCACTCAGGTAATTCTGTGATTTTTTTTTTTTTTTTTTTTTTTTTACAAAACTGTTTATAAATCTTTAAGTCATAGAACCCCTGTGGATAAAATGGATAACATAAATCTGCACTAACTAGTTAACTGACTGTGCTGTTTCTTTATGGGTCACTTCGGGGGAAAAAGGTAACATGCAATGTACTGACCATGATGTACACCGGAAGAGGAATTTTGCTGTTTGCATTATGTAAGAGTTTCTTCTAAGTACTTGCATGTACAATATCATGAATAAAAATTTAATCTGTGATGTATCTCATCTCCTCAGATGTGACTGTTTAACTTGTACGTGTACAATTTACTTGTCAGTAATGCTCTTTTTCCTTGGGTCTTCAAAACATATTGATGTATCTAATGTTATAAGCATTCCAATCAGTGGGGTTTTTTTAGCACTGCCAGCTTACCTTTCCAACTTGCATTAGAGGTCTGGGTAGTGTGGCATGCAGGAAAAAAACTTGTGAAAGGATCCTTCCAAAGAGCTGCTACTGAATGGTAGATTGCCCTGAATGGTATATCAGCTATATGGTATATCAGTAGCAGCCCAAGTCACTAACCTGCCTCACTGGCAGTTCAGTAGGAGTTTTAACGTTGGTTGAAGGGTTCCTTTCACATTAGCAGTACAGAAGGGATGCATTGCCCTAGCCTGTGTTGTTCAGATAAACAACAGAAGGCCAGTGCACTTTTCCTTAGTCTCCAGGCCCTTCTCATATACATACCTGTTGACTAGAACTATAGTGATACAAGCTTGAGGAGATACAGCAACAGATTGATGTGACATTGTGGGCCAGAACTGCTATCAGTTGCTCTTAAAGCTGAAGCTGCTGTGTGTAGAAAAAGTATGGATCAATTTGCATTAATACCTTAATGTTAAAGCAATTCATGGCACGGGGGGAGGGGGGTGGAAATCCTACCAGCTTGTGTAGGTATCTTGTGATATTTATACAGTTTTTACATTTGTCTATACCAGGGGTATCAAACTTACCTTGGGCCAGATCCAGACCACAGGGGGCTTCTGGACCAGATCCATGGGTCTGGGGGCAGGTGCTGCCATGAGTCTTAGAGCTAGCTGCAGATGGCCATGTCCATTGGGTTGAGAGCCCCTGAATTCTGCAGGGGTCCCTGACTTTTGGTAGCCCACCAGACTTTCAGCAACCAGAAGGAATGGTTCTGTGAGTTGCATGTTTGACACCCTTGGTCTACTCCTAGTCTTTATGGTTGGGTCTCTCTCTAGCTTTAATCTGAGATGCTCTATTTGGGACTTCCTCTTCAGCTGTGTATAAAGCTGCTTTGTTGAACAGGTAGGGGTTAGTGACTGGGTAGCTGCTCTAAAACTTTCCTCTTTGTATGAAAATCTTTGTTTGGCATTAAAGCCTACACAGCTTGCTCCATAACTCTCCATGTTCATAGTGACAGAGATGGTGTGATGTATCCTGTCTATTTTGGTCTGTGTTAACGTTCCCCCTTTCTCCCTGCATCAACTTCAGACTCTACAGGCAATTCTTCCCTCTTGAGAGGGAAGAGAGGAATTAGTATGCCTTTTTGTGAAGAATTGAGGAAATCTGTGTGTGTAGGACTTTGTCTTGCAGATCTAACAATGAATCATCTTTCTTATTGGGCTGAGAAATGCACACCTTTGTCTCGTCTTTTTCTGGATAGGCACACCATATAGAACATTTTATGCAAGTGTGATAATACATAGAATTGCTCTTTGGCATAGCGAGCAGCTACAGAGTGATTTTAGTGAGGCATTCAACTGCTGTTTCAGACTTGTAGTCTGTTTTTCATTTTTCTGCATGTTAGCTTTGGAAGGATGAAGCTTAAAGGTCACTTGATTAGGCAAAAGCCTAAAAAAGATTTTTAGAAATTGAATATGTACAAAATTGCTGTCTCCCTAAGCACACTTGAGTAATGGTATGGATTGTGTACTAAACTATCAATCATTTCAGCACTCCAAAGTTTTCCTTCTAGAACTCCCATGTACCCTAAGGTAATTTTTAAACGAAGTATATGGAGACAACACAGTTTTTGATTTATATTCTTCTGTTAGTGGACCTAACCCTTGTATGAATTAAATGTGTCTTGTTAAACTATAGGCACATTTGTGCTGACATAATGAATTTTATTTGATTCCTAGTCCTACTTAAATATTTTGGTAATTGGAATGAAAATATAGCAAAACCTTGAGTTCACTCTACTTCATTCCTTATGCCTTTAGATTTTCCTTTGGTTGCTTTTCTTGTTGTCTGATTTGTTGAGATTGTCTCTCGACTCAAGTATTATTTTTTTCCCTTTTTTTTTGGTGTCCTGAGTCAGGACCCAATATCCTTTCTGTATGTGGAAACACTCCTCTGAGTTTGTGTTGAATAATAATAATAATTATTATTATTATTTTCCCCATATCAAAGGCAAAGAAGAATGAGTTGGGGAGCTAAGGGTGAAATTTTTAAAACCTGTGATACAGCAATACAATGGTGTTGACGAAATGGACAGGACATTTGAGTCCCTGAAGTATTTCATACTTGGTTCATAACAGAGATTTGATATTGGATTTCCTGTTCATTCTGGACATTGGCCAGACCTGCTCTTAATCTTCCTGTATTTAAGAGTTTGACAGTAGTAATACTTGAAAATGCCTTAATCTTTTTCCAGCTTCTTTTTCCTTATAGTTGTGCGGGCCGGGAGCGACCCGAGCCCTTTTTCGTGCTGCACGCGGGCTGTAGCCAGCAGCCCGGGCACGCCGGGTTGGAGAGGGAAGGCCGTCGAGCTGGAATTAGGCACAAACGCGTAGTGGTAGTTTTAAAGATTGTTTACTTACACCGAGATGGCAGTGGTGCAGGCTGGAAAACTTGATTGAGTTGCAGTTACAGACAGACAACACAGACGGTCACGTGGAGGTTGCTAGGCTCCACGGTGCAGAGCTCCGGATGCTCTGGGTGAACGAGCCACCAAAATCGAAATCGGAGATACGTCTTATAAAAGTCGCGCTCGCAGACGGGAAGAGGTGGGCGGTGGATCAGGCCGCCAAGCTCCTCTGGATCTCACACAGGGTTTCTATTACCCTGCCGTGTACCCAGAGTCCCCTTGAGATGGATGCGGAGTCCTCTTTGGCTTGGGCGGAAACCGCTCAAGCCTTTTATACGGCTAACAGGCCAATCGCTAGCCGCCATGTGTGAATAATTTAGCACTAGCCAATCACGGGGAACGAATTTGCATACCGGTGGCGGGAACTCTTGCACCGTGCATTCCTCTTGCAACATGAGCAATGCACCCTGCAAAAGAAGCTGCAGAAAAGGCGGGAAACTCATCCCTGCACCGGGGTTTCCTCTTGCTACAGGAAAATCTACCATGCAATGCTCTGCAACTTGGCGGGGATAATTCTGGTGCCGAAGTGCGCGCACACAATCATGCCTTTTGGGTCATGACAATAGTCATAAACATAAACTGATCGATTGATTGATACAGCCCCTGGTTTCCATGACACCTGACAAAATACAGAGGTCAGTCATGCTGACTATGCTTCGAATTAGATAGTTCCATCCTTGACATCTTTTTGTTCGTTCTCTGATGAGCTCCATGTCATTTCCCCTGTGCTTGTGCAGACTATGTACCCGAAAAGGACATCATTGCTTGGTATGTTGGGAGAAAACCAGTAAATACAGAGCACCGCAAGGTAAGATGGCTAAATCATTTAAATGGTGAGCAAATAGAAGAAGGTTATGAGATGAGTGGGCACATTGGTTTGGCAATCAAAGAAATGAACCAGTAGTTGATTTTCATTCCCCAGGGGGCCAGTGTATGGAGTAATCAGCCATCCTCTCTTCCAGTGGTATGGATCATTGCCTACAGCTGAGTGGCTAATTGAGTTTCATCATAAGCAGAGACAGCTCCAGGGCCCCTGTGAAATTCTGCCTGCTTTTGTCAGCTGAATTTGGTTCTTTGTTGGTTACTTGAGCTAATATTTTATAGCTTTGGAAGGTTACTGTCTCATTAACTAGAGCATATTTCAGAAATAGTGCTTCAAGAAATAGAGGTAAATAGAATGCAAAAAAGCAAGCAGTGCTGAACACCTTGTTTCCCTCAATGTCGTTGTTTCTAGTATAAAATAGATTCTTTGCTCCTGCCATGTAATTCCTAGCTATAAAAATTTCCCAGACTAAATTATGCTCTCAGTTACACCTATGCAACCTTGTTAGACTTCAGTGGGAATTGCATGCATGTAACTGAGAGCATAATTGCGTCTGTGGAACCTTTATTAATGCCAGTGAGACAAGAAGGAAAAACCCACCTTGGCCCTGACAGCCAGAGAGAATTAGTAGGGTTGAAAATTAGCAAAAATATCTTTTGATTTGTAAGATGAGTAACTCTGAAACATGAACAGGTCGTTTTTCTAGAATCACTCTTCAGAGTAGAAATGCACTTTACAATCTCCTGCATACATACGAAGAGAGGGGGGGAAAAGGAACAATTTGTGGAATTATTCTAAATAAGGGAAGCTGGCACTCAATCATAGCTTGCAGAATGAGTAGAAATATGAGTGATGATTGGAAAGATCCAATGTGTTTTAAGTATTTCAAACAGAACAAAAGGAAACAAAAGATATTACTTGAGAAATAGCAGTTATATTGTACTTCACTGTGCTGGGTACACAGTTTTGAGAACTGAAACCTGAATGCATCTAGTTCCTTTTGAAGTTTCATGTTTCTCTCTGAAATAGAGTTACAGTCTTCTTATCCATTGTTATCAATTTTAATAGCGTATTAAAACAAAAAGAACTTCTGTGATTCGGGAAGATAGAATTCCTCTTTCCCCATAGAGAAGTGAGGGCCTGACCCTTTGCTGCAGCCAAACAATGCATAGTATAAATCACAAGGGGTATGCATAAGACTGGGGTTAAATATTGAGACCTAAGTGCCTGCTGGGAGGTAACAGTAGCCAGGCTTTGACAGAATGCTGGGGAGCCCAGGTCACAGCCGCAGTATCCTGCCATGTGAAGTCTGTGAGAAGAGCACTTGCATTGTATCAAGAGTACCTTTGTACTGAGATGACCCCTCCTGTGACCAGCTATGCCATTATGAATATTCCTTTGTGTCACCTGGCTGTGCAAGGTAATCCTAAAAAAGAAATAAATCTAGATCTGAATAAATCTAGATCTGAATACTCCTTGCATGTGTTTTTATAGTATAGAGTAGAAAGACTCTTTGTTCTTCCCGGGGATGCTTGAGATCTTCAGAAACATTAAATATGGATGGTAATA